CTGCAACGATAATCAGAACCCTATACCCCACAATTTTAAAATTTATAATTTACGCTATCCCCCATATTAACTTCCCTTATATTGGACACTCCCAGCACGTACTTTCATCTCACGTCTTTTTTCGCTCAAAAAGGAATTCCCATTAGTCTTCAGTTCAAACGGATTTTTCCTCATTTTTTGTATTGTCAATAATAACGGTATTTGTTTTTTATATAAAAATAATAATATTTAATGCAAGTTATTGGTAGTGTCAATTTATATAGGCAGTATTATTAGTAGACACGCCAGGATAACAAAATCAGTCTGTGGGGCGTTCCACACTGTCTTGGTTTCTTTTACAAAGATGTCATTGACATATATCTTTAATCAAACATTCCTAGCTATGAACATAATGTAATTTTATACTATTTTATTAATTATATTATTATTTTATTATATAATGATTATGCATAGAAATATCAAATGCGCGGTATACCCAACTACCGTCACAAATGTGTTAGATTCATTTTGTTAAATTATTATTTATATTAATATTATCTTATTTATTTTCACAATAATAAAATGACACATAATTATCAAGATAATAATGGGATTTCTCCCCATTTCATATACTCTTCGCTTTCTATTATGTACGTCGATCTGTTTGCCCCCTCAATTAAAAACTACTTCTTCCTTCACTTCACTCATTTGTTCCTTTTTTGTAGTGACTACTGAGCTACAGTGTCATTGACACTTTCATTATATATGTTAATTAACCATGTAAACACATTGTTTGTCTCCTCGCACAGTATGTGGACAGCAAGCGTAACCAGTTTCTCAATATATACTCTGACTGGGAGCCTGGCTCAGAGTTCAACCTAGACAGTATTGCCCGTAAGTATGCATGGTCACAGTTAAAGTATGCATTCTAAGTCAATCCCAAACAGTCTCATGCAAATTGGCTGATAAGTCTAATGGAGCCTGTGGTCATGGAATTGCCTAGGGTTAGCATAATTGGCTGACCTGTAGTTCAGATTATTAGTACATTGCAAATACTAGTTGCCTTGGCTTAACAGTTGTTGTCTAATTTGTTGTCACAGGTTGTCTAATTTTTCCTAGAGTATAATTATATATGTAAATTATGAATGATAAGAAAATACTAGTATATCTCATTTCTAACTGCCCCACACAGTTGTTTGCATATTTTGGTTTGAAACTATATATTTCTGAGAATTTATTCTTTAATATTTAGAAAGTTGTTTGAGTCTGGACTTGCAATTTACACCATATCAACTATACCATACAGAGTAAGTACTAGTAGTATACGAATAACAAGATTGTGTATTGCTTTACCCATTACATTACAACCACATTAATACACGTACATGTGTATGAATTTGTAGAATGTTTTGCTGGTTGGGTTTAATTCTCTGTTTTGTGTACTGTATATAATATAACCATGTAATCAAGAACTACACTCATCTCTCATTGTGGAAAATGATATATAAAGAAATGCTGAAACTATAATGTTAAAAGTCAATCACACTTAGCACTGTTAGCAGACTCTGTATACGTCACCTTTTAGAATATGTAAATCATGCTATGTCTCAATATTATCAGGTCATTATGCTTGTGGTATTATTTACATGCAGTATGGTCATCGGAGACACAAAGGAAGTTGTGTGGCTTCTCAGTGGAAGTGACCTGAAGGTCCATCTGTTCCGAGAGGTGAGTTGCCATGATGTTAGAATTATCCCTGAGCAATTTTGATAGTGTGCGTTTCGCATGTCATAGTGTGCATAAACATGTGCATAAGTATACATTTAGTCTGGTTAAAGCGTTGGTGGTCCGTACTCAGGAGTTATATAGACAGTGGGCCATGTTTCTGAACCATATATATACCGTATATATTTATATATATATATATATAACTGTGCCTGTGTATACATTAAATAATTTAGTTTTATACTGTCCATGTTTTTAGGATAGAGCTCTACATTTGTTTAATGAGCAACCAGTAGAAGAATATTTTCCAGAGTTTGAAGATTTGCCAAGCCCGTGAGTTATAGAGAAATTAGTCTGTGTTTGTCCATCACAGAGATAATGGTCTGCCTGTAATTAGTAGTTATTTAGAAAGCAACAGAATAAGGTCATTGGATTTCATGATAACGTGAGATTATATTTATATTCTGATGAATCCTAAAATGTAATTTAATGATTTATAAAACTTGTTAGCAACAGCTTAGACAAGCAAGCTAGTTGCAATTTTCAATGTTACTGCTGTAGTAGTAGTCAGTGTTATTAACATTGCAGAGTACACTGGATGGACATTCGTTACTTTGAGGACCAGAGGAAACGACTAACAGCAGTCGGCTGTCAAAATGGATTTGTGAAGCTTTGTTGCATCGATGTGGGAAAGAAAGGTATGTGCTGTACTAAACACATGCATGCATGCACACTAACAGACACAAATACACAAATAGATAGCTAGAGAGAGAAATATATATGGATATCACTGTCACAGTTCAATGTATGCATTGTGATACTAGTGCTGAGCATAAGATATCTCCTTATGTTTGTGGAAGTAGGATTATGGTAATAGAATTTAGGTTGTAGTTTAGGATTTCGTGTTGCAAAGGTAGGCAGGCATACTAATGAAAATAAAATTTATTCAGCATATATTGAGTAAACACATTACATATACGTCACTCTTGCGTTTGCATCTATATCTATCATAGGAAATAATTTTTGTTTGAACAGAGATTCTGCAAAAATGGGAAGTCTTGCACGATGGCCCAGTTACTTCCCTAAGGATTTTCAGCTTGAAAACCAGCATAGAATGCCCACTTCAGCTAATACCAACTGGTAACAACAAATGACTGGCATTGAATACGATATTCACCTAATACTTACTAGTATGAACATATCTATACAGTATAGATATCTTCATGTTGCTACTATTCAGTATTCACTGACAATGTATTTTATATACATAATAGTATTCCAATCCAGCAGCCACTAATGCTAGAAAATTGTATAGAAATGTGTTAGTGTGTGGTTATTCATTCTTAACTTTCATGGAATAAAATATCATGACAATGGGATAAATGTCGGTTTCCAAACGTCATTACTGTTTAGATGGCTAAACATACAAGCTTTGACAGTAACTATATTTATAGATATGGCCATATATATACATCCATACATCAGTAGAAAGGCATTGCAAATTAACACCTCTCTTGAGATCTCTTCCTAACTGCCTAACTGTTTGTTTTCAGTTGAAAGTGACACTGCGTCAGACTACGAATCTGACACAGATCCCAATGACAGACAGCAACTGCACCTCTTGGTGGCCAATGCAGTGGAATCGTCTGTTGTCTACAGGTACAAAACTCATGTTAATTGACTTATCCAGAGGTAGCTCCAGCCAATCAGAATTGCAATAGGGCAGTCTAAAAACACTGTTTAGTAACGAAGTGTTGCAGTTGACAGTTTGGCTCGCATGCATGAAAAACACATTTAAACGAATATAGCTTGACCAACCTAGCAATAATATTTAAGTGGGCACGATTATTGTAAGCAGATTTTCAGTCCTCACGTGATGTGGTGCTGCCAGGTTTAGGTTGTTTTATGGGTTCATGGAAGGGGCTTGCAGTGGGATGTCAGTCACTTTGTTCATTTCAGTAATGTGGTTGCATGGATTGGACAATCACGCATTTTCACTACAGAAACGTAGCTGCATGCTAGAGCTGTAACGATCCACCGAAATCGAATCGAATCGCGATTCTCTTCCCTCGATCCGATCCTCGATACTTTTTCCCGTATTTTTCGATCCGATCCAACCACTAGTACTTCATGGTGGGCATATGTTTCCATGAACCAAAGTATCCTCGTGCCATACACTGACGTCACGCACGAACTCGGCTATCTCCGAAGTTGAATGCATACAGCCTGCTGATGGTTGCGCATGGTCATATTCCATACCACGCATATCAACTTCCGCATCAGGCTTTCCGTATATCAAAGAATGATGCAAAAACCCTAACCCTAACACTAACTATAAACCGGCTCGGATATCTTATATACTATCTATGGTATCCCAAACACTATCTATGGTGTATAGATAGCCACTGACGTACACTGACGTCACGAGGATACTTTGGTTCATGGAAACATATGCCCACCGTACCTCATACTGTGTGCATCGGCCGAAGCGTGTATGAGACGCCCGCTCTGATTGGTCAATAGTCCTGACTCGCCAGTCAGCTAATCAGCGGCTACAGCACATCGCTAATATGTTTACAGGGCTGCAGTTAGACGTGACTGCTCTTTTTAAATTTTAATTATGTGCTTAAAGTTATTTTGTTAAATAAAATTGAGAAAAAAGAAAGAATGTAATAGTTTATAGAATGTAAGAATGTAAGAATCTAAGAATGTACCTAATGTACCTAATGTACCTAATGTAAGAATGTAAGAATTTTAAGAATGTAATAGTTTTATTGCAAAATAATGAAAATATAAAAAATAAGATAACATTTCAATATTTTGGGAATCGAATCAAAGGAATCGAATCGAGAGGCTAATATCGAGATACGGATCGAATCGAGAGGCTTGTGTATCGTTACAGCCCTACTGCATGCCTCCAAGTTTTTGTATTGTTTGTTGCAGTAATGTGTTGTCGCAGGGCCTATCTGAGAAGCAGGTTCTGTCAGGTAGTGACGCATTTGACTGTGTTCTCTCCACCTGGGTAGCCGACCTTGACTTTGATGGTCAAAACGAGCTGCTACTTGGGACATACGGTCAGGTAGGTGACAACGAAAACGGCTACGTGAGAGATGGTTTAATGTGTTGCAAAAGTTAGTTTCATAAACGCTGGGCGACATCGTATGAAACAGGGTGCAGCACGATGGTGATGACATTGGTTTT